TCCCTCCCTCCCTCCCTCCCTGGGCAAAGTGAGAGAAGAGAAAAAATAATTCTATTTTTAATCCATCTCTCATCTAAGGTCATAGCATCTAACCACAATGCCATATTGCTGCAAAATCTGTAACTTGTGTATTCTTTTGTGATTTCCTACTATACATTTTCTGTCGCCCAATTCAGCCATCATTAAAATGATAGAGTGATTCTGCAAAAGGGAGAAATCTGATCATTCAGAACCAGCGACCACAATTGAAGGTCGATCTCCAGAACAATATTTTGGGATGATGCCTCCTTGGGGTAGGCAATGAAGACACTGCTGGCATTCTCAGCAATTGCCACCACTTCCTGCTTTGTCTTCTGTTACTATCCAGTCCTGTACTCTCAAGTATAATCAGTTCCTGCTATGAAAACAATCAAGTGGGCATTAAGGTCTGTGACACAACCATTTGCTACCCCCGTGCTGTGCTTTCTGCCTGTAAAGTGACTTCATCTGCCAGCTAGCCCTGATGCTATATAAACTTCTAAAAAATCTAATTCCTCAAAGCCCTTGAAAAATCAGTTCTCCCTCTAGCCTTAGCAGTGGCTGAAACTTCCATTGCTGTGAATCCATATTTTATTTGTGGGCATTTGTGTGGAGACTGCCTGCCATGCCCCCTGTCTGCAGTTCTTTGTTGTTGTTGTTGCTATTTCACTCAGACCAGCTTGGAGGAACATAGTTTTGCTTTCCATATGGTGCTAAATTCTGGTTGTACTTGTTCAGAAGTCACCATGGTGAAGAGAAGGATTTTTAGACTTCTTCTCACTTGTTGAGCTCAGCCACAGGTACGTCTGAAGCAGAGAATGTGTGCAGATTGGCTGCCCTACCATAGTAACTTTTCCTGGAGGAAAACCGATCACAGTGCAACCTGCGAGTGGATCAGAAGGCGAATGAGGACAGGCCTAAGAGCTCAAGAGGGCAGATCAACCGAAAGCTGACAAAAGGCTGACCCAGGAAAACTAATGCCAGAATGTGACTGGGATCACTGACACTCTCCCCACAAGTTACAACAGAAATGTAACAGGGTGTTTAATTCTCTTTTTGTACACTCACAAAGAATGAGGTAAACAGCCGTATCTACACGGATCATTGTTTTTTTCCTAACCTAGTTTCCAAGTGTCATACCTGCAATTCCTCCACTGCCAAATATGGATGGATCCTCACTATCCAAACATACTAAAAGTTTTTTCAAAGTCCTATAAGACTGTCAGAATAATTTTTAAAAAATATTTCTATTATATTAAGCAAAATGTACACTTAATTGGGTT